TGTACACGTACAGTAGGTACACACACGAGGAAAGCTCACTCGCCTTCGTGAGTTGCAAGCTTTACTTGCTAAGTGTCCCCACCGATAAGTATACATACCAGACTACAAAACAAGTCAGAATTGTGGGTTTTGTTGCTCGTCAAATGACAATCCCAAAGTTCAATAAAGTTTTTTCGGCAGTTAGACGCCTGTTTCTATCCAGAGAACTACTTAAAGAAGCATTGACTATGATTTTTCACGTCGTAAGTACCCATCTCTATAATTAATCAATCGTTTATTGCTTTACCACATTAGCTGGATCGAATTCAGAACCTACGCATCGAGAGAGACCACCAAAGGTTTTCCACAAAGATCGGTCCTACGCCTCCCGCATCCAGGCACCTCCCGCGACCTTCACCAGATCGTCGTTCCACCTAGTGGGAGGCCTGCCCACACTACGTCTTCCGGCTCCTGGTCGCCACTCGAGAACTTTTCTGCCCAGCGGCCATCAGCTATGTGCCCTACCCACTACCACTTGATTTTAGCAATTCTGCGGGCTATGTCAGTCACTTTGGTTCTCCTGCGGATCTCCTCATTTCTGATTCGATCACTCTCTTTATCTCTATCACTAGGCCGTAAAAACATGCAAAAGATCATGTAGGCGTCATTTAATTTGTCATCAAATACAACCTTACGTCACAGGGTCGACGCGAGGTCTCTACGATGACGTGACCGGGTTCCGAATCCGGGCCGGGCCCGGCCCTGGCAGTGCAAACGCCCTGAATTATGCATTTGTGACTAATTGCTGCCATTGCCGTGGTTAAGTCAATCCCGGAAGTCTAAAAAATAGCCAACCCTCGCCTAGTCATGAAAACATTACAAGTAGGTAGATAATTACTTAGTAGTTTTCTCAAGATCGTCAAGTTCTAAGTCAAACAACTTTAAAATGACAATTATTATCCACAAGGTTTTGCTCGCGACTTCACTTGCCTGAAATTTAGTTTGTCACAGATCGTCATAAATTATAGCCTAGTTATTCAGGGTTACAAAAATAATATTGTAAAATTTCATCAAAATCCGTTCAGTAGTTTTTGCGTGAAAGAGTAACAAACATGTTAACAGGAATCTAAACAACCATACAAACTTTCACATTTATAATTATGTATTAGTATGATACATACTTACTGATATTACTAAAGTATTAATATATAGTTTTTTTTCTTTTCAATTATAAAACCTACTACTACCTAGGTTTTCAGGAAAATTCCGAAAAATCTTTAAATCCCTGAAGACAAACTTTTTGTACTGCATAAGCCACCTAGCGGAAAACGTTAGAACTGCGACCCGCGGCTCATCGTGCATGCTTTTCCGTCTCTCGAACGGCATTTCAGTTGGTTCATAAGCAAATAAGTAGATGACGCTACTCACGAATTAAATTTTCGCAATTTTTTTTTCAGGAATGCCAACCAGTTTTTCAGGACAACACAAATTCTATATTTGTTAGTTTTGTTTGCTATTTAAATAGTTTTGTGCTCAAAACCTATTTTTTTCCATGAATAAAAATGATCGTAAAAATTTTCAAGAGAGCATCTACGAGTATAACCATAGTCCATGTATACCTAATATGATGAAAATAAGATGAATATAATAATTATACTTTGGCTATTGAAGCTTATGATATTTTAATAATAGCCAATTCAAAAAACTCTGTTTTGTTTTGTATTTTGGACTGCGAAAATAAAGTTCAAGCCCAAAAATATTTTCTGTTTAATATTATCATTATCATTTCCATTTCAATAACACTAGTTTTAAATAAATTCTGTCCGAATCTCGCTGAACATCCAATTTGTAGATACAATTGTCAATTTCGTCACACAATCAGTTAGTGTAGTGCAAATATCGATAGGTTAAGGTAATATGGAATGGCGACCAATACAATTATTGAAGTGTGTGAAATGACAACTTTTCAGGATTCCTCCTGATTTTCCATATATTTTCCTCCAAGAAACAGAGTTTCTATAAATACTACGTTTTAGATACGACTAAAAAAGCTTTGATCTTTTCTTTTTACCATTTTTTGTGTACATTTCAGGTTTAGTGTCATGTGCTTGAAGTTTATTCTTGCATAATAGAATAGAATAGAATATAAAGTGTTTATTTGTCTCAAAACAGGTTTAATATTATTTTACTACACAACATTTTTATACCAACAGTCATCTCATTAAAATTAAAAGTACATACATAAGTTTACTTCAAATCAGCTGGTGATACGTAGCTAATAAAACATGTAAAGCTTGGCAGCAACGAAATGTTATTATAAAATATGAATTAGTGAAATTACAATTGCATTTTTTTATTAATGTCACCATCATTTTTTATCGATAGTTTAGCGATGGTCATTACCAACACTAGCCAGCACCCACTGCTCGCGGAAGCGGCGCGCGCGCGGCCTCGCGGCTTCCGCGCGAAAAACAATCGCGGGAGCCATAGATGTCACGCTGGGCTTACAACGGACGCCGCGGCTTAGTCAGGGTGGTTTTCAAAACAGAATGAGGTGCGGTGAGTTGGCAGTTTTTTTGTGTTCGCCAATTTTATTACTCAGCCATGATAAAAACAAAGTTCTCTGTGTACTGGTGTTTACTTTCTACAGTCAAATTATCAATCTATCGTTTACCACTTAGGTCCTTTTCAGAAAACTTATAAAGCTCTTAACAAATTCATTTCAGGACAACCAATCTGTCTTCCGCTTCATCTTTCTCTTTTTTTCTTCTGATTATTTTTTGCGGGTCCATTGACAGTTTCATTTTCCTCGGGACTAACGTTGCAGCCCTCAAATTATCTGTTTTAGACTGTTTTCTGACGTAAATCACCTCCTTTCTACATCTAATCTACTCATAATTTTCAGCTACAAACACCTACAATCTACAAGCTCCAACAAAACAAAAACTATACAACTGAACTGCTCTATAACTGAAAAACGGATGCATGTCTTTACATAAACTATAATATGTACATGTAAGTAGGTATCATCAGTACTGGCATATAAAAATGGTAACCATCAAAATAAATCTAAATCTATCCAAATTCATTTCAGTCGAAGACACACCGTTGAACGTAAACCTGAATATACGCCACGAATACGAGTTTTTTTCATCCAGCCACTGCCAAGCCAACTGTCCTCTTGAGCTCAACTGTCAATAGGACAAAGGCGCCTCCTACATTATGTTTACCGAGACGTGGGTGGAGTAAGTAAAGTAAAAAAAGTATTAAATGTTTTTTTTGACAAAAAGAGCGACATCACATTTACATAAATTATAAAAAGAAAAAAAAGAAAAATATTGTGCCCTGCTGTCAAATAGGGGCCCGCTCAGCATTAATCGGGGCATGCCGTGGGCATGCCTTGACACCGATTTTCAGTGGGTCCCTTGACGTTGCTGCGCCCTACCGCCGAAGGAGAAGCACTCCGTAAAGTGCCTGTCCGTCGGCGGGAACATGCAATAAGGGGGCGGCAAAATTATGTACCCATAAAAACAAACACAAAAATCAACAAAATAATAAAAACTAAAAGTGGACGTGGAGACTCAATACCGAAACCCGTTTACCCCATCACCTTTCATCAGTTCTGCGACAGGTATGATCGGTCCAGTTTATTTGGCTTGGTATCATATTAACAATTACAATCTTCTAACATTTGCCACAAAAATACCAACCAATCAGTCGAACTCTTCAAGTCCCAAAAAACTAATTAGAATAGTTTAATTAGCGCAGTAATTAATTTAAATGCAATCCGGAAAGCGAGCGCTCCTCCGAGCGAAAGATGCGCGGGCGCCGCTTCCGGTCCGAGCCGGAACCAATGTGACGTCTTCGCTCCGATTCTATCTAAACTGCGTGTGTCAACTCCAAGGTCGTCTTTCGTTGTCAATTGTGACTAAAAAGACCAAGTTGGTTTACAATTAGGCTCGTTTTGTGTCAACTGCGCCTTTGTCACAGTATAATCTGAACGCAGAAAACTTCTGTTGGTACATTGATAAGAAAACGGATAGTTCTAAAGGTGTTCGTGATTCTTTTCATTTTGTATTACAAAACAACTACAAAGTAAATAAGTATCACAAAATAATAAATAATTCATTTCTTCAGATAATCTATGAAAAACATGATTTTTCTGAAATACAATGTTGAGACTTCCCTGAAATTCTCATAAAATTAGTACCAAGTAAACAATGGTACGAAACGACAATGTCAATGCCAGCTCGGAACATGATGACAACAACAATGCTGTTGGATCACCTTATTGTGGACCATGAGATCTAGATTAAGGCTTTGATGAACTGGATGAAACCAGTGCCGTTAATTACATAATTGATTTAATTGTTGCTGCTTTACATTCTGTGACTGCACGTAACAGTCGCGAAATGGCTTGCCTTCACCTTAAATAAGTGTACGGACACAATGCGTAACCTAAGGCTTTGAGCACATGGAGCGTGATCGTAACCTAATCTAACCTCATGACATATTTCTTACACATTAATGGTGCTGAAAAGCTAAACGATAACGCCAGAATTATTTCCTACAACCTAACTGGGTTAAAGTTATGTATTTCTAAAAACAAAAAAAAAAGGTTTCTGCTCTCCTAAAGTTCTTCTTGACAAACTTTTTAAAACTTACTTGGATTTTAACATGACGACTATACAATAGTCGTTTAAAAAGAAATTGGAGATAATTTGAATAATTGCTTTAACAGCGACAAAAACGCCTGGTATCTCTCTAGAAATGCTTGCCTATCTCCCTAATCTCTACAGTAGTGTACACTATTCCGCAACCTGTCTGCAAAAGTCCATCGTTTTGACCGCCTCCTGAATCTTACCGCTATCTTCACCACAGTGCTCTTACCCTTAATTCACTGGATACACATCAGCAGCCAATGTTATTGCTCAGAGAGCCAATCAAACGTAGAGCTCAGCTAAAATAAGCCTTTTTCTATTCAAACCAGAGGTATGTACCAACACATTTTGCTTCCACAGCTTCCAGAAAGTCTCGCTGCCGCTGCCGTCGCCACGATGCCCTGGTGCGAACTGCATCGCATGCAGATCAGAGCTGTCGAGCGCAGCGGCCGCAGTACCGCGCTGCACCTCGTCCCGGCACCGCGCTCGCCAGGTCAGTACGGAGAAAGTCATTTGAATTCCAACGGCGTGCGGCAGTTTCTAACGCGTATTAGGATGTGTGACTTATTGCCGGTTTTGTTTGTTTGTGGAATATTTTCTGTGTATTCGTTTGCAATTCTAAATTTCTAAATATTTCAAAGGTGTTTTCTAGTATTTTTGATCAGATTTATGATTAAAATGTAGGAACAGTTATCGGAATACATATCAACAAATGCAATACAGTGTTGTAATCAAATTGATTTGTGTGACCAAAATAATCCATTTTTGTCGGTTACCAGAAAATAGTGTAAATATCGCGAGTGTGTTTCTATTAATATACTTCTTTACATTAATTTGCATTATAAAAATCTAGCATATCGTGCTGATTCTAACTCTGAATGAAAAATATTAATTTATTATTGTCGGTATCATCTTCTCTCCATTTAAATATTGATTTACAAGAGGTATATTTAAATGTTTACTTTGAATGAAAATTATTTCAGTGGTTGCCTTTGATGTTCAGTTGTTATCAGGTGTGACCAAAGCACAACAGTGAACGCCAGTTCCACGCCCCAAATATTGTCATATTGCCTTCCGCGTTGATTTGTTCGAGACAACACTGAACAAATATGTTAATGACCTTATCCACAAAGGCCGCCTCATCACACCTGTCATACGCACGACATCGCATTGTCCGCCGGCGACAAACATGGGTGACATGAAACGCGAGGCAGTGACGACAATCGCTGTAGAGACACCTAAAGTTGACAATAACATCATCTGGGTGACTTAATTACTTTTTCTGATTAACGGTGCTTTTTGTAATTACGTAGGGTAGCTATGAACTGTACTTGTTCTTCCCCTTCTCATCCTATATGTATTTGCTAAACATAGGTAGGTAGTCAATAGGGGTGAGAGCGTGGGAAATTTATTGCGGTCATTCCAATGTCAGATTTCTGACTGAAAAATGCTGAAAAGGGACTTGTAACAAGTCATGACTCAGTATTTCTAAACGAATAGAGTACAATGTTGACGTACGTATCCGTGTACAAACACACCCTTCTAGAATTTTCATTTGCGTTGTGGGCAACGGAAAGTTTTAGTGTAGGTATCTATGTTCTTTATTTATAATCGGAATAGTTGTTTTCAAGTATAGACCGATATAAATCCATAATAAGCTTCAGCTGGCGAATTGACCAAAGGTGATATCGTTTTAAAGAAACACCTTATTTTACCAAAAACACGGCACTAATATTTACGAATGTAGAAGAAATCTAATAAAATTTCGTTATGCAAATCAAGTTATTTGATTTATTAACGTTTTGTCGTCTCCGCTTAACTTTGGTGGATCACAGCCAGAGAGATTACGGTCTATATTTGAAACACGTGATATTTCAGCGTTTTCAGATTTGAAAATGTTAATTTAACAAAAGATAGCATATAGATTCAGTCTAAACCTATGATCTAGAATTCTAGACAACATTTATTTATTTATTTTTTATTTATTTAATAACAATCTTAGCTCTAACATTACAGGTTACCCCAATGCGATAGAGTAGATTAATTAGTACATATTTAACAATTAAGATTGCCGCTATGGCTATAACATAAAATAAATAATGTAACCTTTGTGAATTCAGTCAAAGAACAGCTGAATATGTCAACGGTTCTAGCTACTACATTAAGTGTACATAGTGATTCCGATCGAAAAAAAGCTTAGAACAGTGACGCGCGCGCATTGTTGCTTTGTTGGTAAGGTCAGCTGCACAGAATCAGGTCGGCACGGCCAATGTCGCCAAATGTCAGGCATGCCGATAATTAGCTACTAAATATTAATCAGGTAAATTATAGTATTGAGTGACATTTAAATGGCCAGGGGATGGGGTCTGGTGATTTATTGATAGGTTGCAGACAAGTAGATGATGCTTAATTAGATAAAATTAGGTGGCAATTTACAAGATTGTGTAAAGTGCCTTAAGACATGAAACTTGACCATAGAGCCTTTGGTCTTAGTCTAGATGCGTTAGATGCGTATAGTTCTCTATAGAATGAAGCAAAAAAGTCAATTTAATTTCAAGCATAGTTATTTGAATTTTAACAATTAAATCCAATCACAGGACAGAATTTAGGTCTGTAATTGAAACTAGTGTTGATGAATGATGATCCTTAAGAATGTATCAGAGACTTCGTCGACTGGACTTCAGAGCATGACCTTAGAATTTGTGTCGATTTTTAGAATGGGATTACCTGGATACAACTATCTCTGCTATTTATAGCCAAGACACGTTAGGCATGTGTGACACCGGGAATTTTCCGCGCACCCGCCGCGCACCGTACCTTGAACTTGCGTCGGAAGCAGGCAATTACGTCTTCGGCTCGAGATGAATTGCCTCCGCATCCATCGCCACTCCTCGTCATCGTTTACAGTCTTCCACCGAATTATTGTTGCAGGGACGGACTTGCTATGTTGACAGGGCCCCGAATGTACGGGGGTAGTTCTTGTGACCGAACATGTGGGGCAGTAGTTCAGCAGTTTTACAAAAATTGTCTTCTTGGCTTTTAAAATGCCAACACAACAATCATAATTTTGTAATTTAAATTATTCTTAGAAAAAATATTGTGGACACTTGTTGAGACGAAGCAACCTAAGATTCTCCGCCATGCCATATTTTGACTGAGGTGTAGGAGTTAGGGCGTGCAGAATTAGAAGCTTGGCTCTACATGAGATCAGACCTTTTTTACAGTGCGAGCCATATGGTTCGTTCTGGCAACATTTTACATGTTTTTGGTGGGATTTTAATTTTATCAATGTGAGAGGCAGTTTTATAATTTCACACATTTCCCCCATTAGAGTAGCCTTTTATTTGATTGGTAAACATTTTTGTGGCAGTGGGCAGGCCTCCCACTAGGTGGACCGACGATCTGGTGAAGGTCGCGGGAAGAATCTGGATGCGGGCGGTCGTTATGGATATCCTTGGGGGAGGCCTTTGTCCAGCAGTGGACGTCATTTGGCTGAAACGAAATATTTTTGGCGTAATTTTGTTCATTCACTTCCTGCTTTCCCTAACGCCGGCCCTGGTTATACTTACGTAACACGAGCTAATAAATAAAAGCGATAAACAAAGCATGTCGTAAAATACAATCAACTTATTGTTCCGCGAAAACGATATTTGGCCATTTGCACTTTGCCCATATTTTTGCACTAGGAAGCAATCAATCTATTAGGTATCATAATCTTACTTACTTTAGATATTTCAGTCTAAAAACAAACACGTCTTTTTTGTTTAAGTCATTGCTATTTAAGTAATTAATGTATTCTTTGCTAAACATTATTTTATGATGGCTTGTGTCTATGACTAGGGTCATTAGAGGTGCCTTGATCAATCTTGCGTTTTTTTGCGTTTACAAATGAAAAGTTCTTGCTCTAAGTATCTAATCATCAGTTCAATGAACAGTTACAATGATGTAGCATTAGTGGCGCAAACTTTAAAAGTCTCCATCAATCACCCGCCTTCACCTTTTTTAAATGTGTAGAAAGGTCACAACCCTGTCAGATGAACCGACAAAAAATTTAGAGTCTGGCATAAAAAAACATATTTTAGATCCTGTATTCATACTGCTTGCATACATACTCTTTATAGCTAGCTTTGCACACAGCAAACACGTCCATCCACAGCAACCCCATAAAGCCACAATGCACATGGGACCTTGAAGGGTGGCCTTGGCAGTAAGGCCGGTCACACACTACGACTTTGCAGCGATACTAACGCGTTTACCAAGTTAGGTAGTTATTCCCAGTGGGGGCAGATTTTTCTGTTCGGTTTAGTTGGTGGTAGGGCTTGTTCTAAGTCCGCCTGGCTAGCTACCACCATCTTACCTAAGTCTGTCGCCATAACATCCGTTTATTTTGACCGGACTACGGCCCAATTTCTTCCACCTGCTTTAGCGGTGGTATATGGCTTATAATAATGAACGTGTGCACATGCATCGAACATAGGTCGTCTGGTGAAAAAACGGATGTCTACAAACGGTCTTATACGACATTTGTGTGTGATGCTAGGCTTTACTAACTTGTCTCATATTTAACCATTGATTACATGATTCTATAGATGCAGTTGCTCTAAAGAACCAATACAAACGTAAATACACGATTGAATCTTGTATCGATGCACACGTTCGCGCAGTCTCTATTTACGTTTCTTTCTTAGAAGTAATAAACACAGCGAGAATTATTACAACTGTCTGAATCAAACTCATCATCATCGCGCTGTATTTAGCTGCCGATAAATGAATCAAATAATAAAAGTATTTCTTCTAATACTTCACTATGCACGAATACTGCGATTGCATCGATACTTAAATGGTGTGTGTGCCCTTTAATGTCATATACATGTATATTAATACATTATGATAATTTTTAGCCTGTATGCGACTCCATCGCGACGTTCCATAAAGTATCGTGTTGGAATCGCTAGGGCAACCGAAGCGCTGAAAAACCTTAACAGCTGATATAGTTAGTCTCTTTCAGTGTGTTAAATGGCCTTACAGTGAACCCTCTCTCCCGCAAATGCTTAATATTTCTTTTTATCACTCATCTTACCTTGGGGAGATAGAGGTCAATTCGTTACGCGCAATTTAAAAGTTCGTCCTTGAAACCACGGCAATGTGAGTCGTCCCCAAAAGGGTGCGAACTGCGCAGCTTCCGACAGGGGTCGTGTGTGCTATAGCTAGCACCTAGGTATTGTATAATTCAGGTCTGTTATGCAATAATGTGTTATTATACAAGTTCTAATATTTTTAAAACGTCAGCGTAACTTGAGTACATACCTACTATGCTGTTGAGTAGACAAGCACCTGTAATTTCGTTATTATTATTTTCAATTCGCTAAATTTGACTTGCTTGCTAATTTCTATTGTCTTCTTCGTCATAAAGCTCTAAAAGCCTTGAAATAGAATATAAATGCTTCTCAATAATAAGTTGTAATAGTAAGTCATTCGTTGGATCGATAGAATTATAAAGTTTTCAATTCTCATTTGGACTTATTATTAGTGTAATTTAATCATAATTAGTATAAAATATTACATTAACGACCCACATACTCGTATAAACAAAGTACATTATGTAACCCAAAGATTACACTATCTCAGCAACACAGATTTGTGTAAACATAGGAAACAAAACTACTAAATAATCAGCAAATATTTCAAAATGGGCACTTCGACCTTTGCGAATGCGTGAATAGGAACGTAATAATTTATTGCTAAACAAGCGTGTTAACTTTCAATGACTTGGCTTCCTTACAGACTTCATACTTTCGTAATTTGATACATCTGTCTGTTCGTTTATTACGTTATTCATATTTAATACTAAATTACACTCATGTATTTTCAAATAAAATATAGGAAATTTACTAAGTACTTTGCCTAACTGCTTACTGCAAATTATAATTTGTAGGATAAGTTTTTTGCTAAGCAAAAATACATTTTATACTTTTAGTATTTTTTCCCTGATACAAAACAAAACACATTTTTCCTGCATTCTACAATTTTTGCAGGGGTTTATGCGCATTATCTAAAATAACAAGCAAAACCGGTCGCCAAAACTTGTATGTTCTATTTAAGACATTTTTTACTATCGGCTAAGGAAACGTGTTTTAACTTATGCGACTATTATAAAGGAATGACATACTTATTTTATTACGGATGTCAGTCAATATTAAAACTTTATCGCCCTATTTCACAAGGCATTCAAAACGAATGTTTGGGAGTTACGACGATTTAGTACCTCCACGGCATTTTCAGCGTCATACCCTACTTGATAAAGATTAAAATTGCATGTGGATATCTTAAAAGAGGGGTATTCATGATTGCCACCTGTCTTTTTTTTTTCTTTGGACACATTCGATGATTCCAGACTTGGCAAACAAACTTTTTGCCGAATATGATTTCAGTTTGCATAATAGGTTCCTGTGTACAAATTAATACATGTAACAAGAAAAGTAAAATATGATTTCTCAATGTTTTTTCATGTAATACTTTATATTTTTTCATGAAAATAAAATAAAAATAATAATTAAAGTAAAAATAGAAAATTAAAATTGCTGTAATTTAAACACTTCAATTTGCAATAAGTACGTGAATTATGTTTCTTAATTCAATAATAATTTCCCATCTTGGGTAATTAAAATACACACTATAATATCAATAATTATACGTCAAAACTACCGCCAACTGAGTTAATAACCATTATTAAGGTTTGCAATAAAATTACTCAAATAAATGTGTGCCAAACTGCTGTATGCCGGTACTCATTTGTTATTTCAACCGGTTCCTGCACAGCCCGGATAGCTCAGTCGGTAGAGCATTGGACTTTTAATCCAAGGGTCCAGGGTTCAAGTCCCTGTTCGGGCGAACATATTTTATGCTTACCAAAGACTAAAATAAAAAATGTCAATTCGATAATTTAAAAAGTTACAAATTAATGTAAGGTATTTAATTTATCAGTCACTACAACAATAATGTATGACTAATCCAATAAATGTCTGTATCACCAAGGTCATATTATTATAAAATAATTTGAAACTTTTATTATACGCAAAAACTAACAGGTATTTAAATTGGCCACATAAAAAGTCCATTACAAAATCCGCGACCTAATTTGTAATTACTTTTTTCAGATCGCCGATCGGCAGCGGACTGTCGCACGTTTCCCGCCATTTTCACGCCGACTGCCGCAGTTGACACCCGCTTACGCGCGAAGCGACGCACGCGACATTCCATTTTCGAATTTTTAAAACATTCCAAACTGTGATTATGACATTCCTTTTTTAAGTTTTCAGTGTTGTGTTCCATTTCTTAATTTAAATGTGGGTATTCTGTAAAAGATGTCCCGCGCATCGTCGTTTAAAACCGTTTTTTAACTAAAATCTCTTTAAAAGACTGTGCGTGAAGAAATGACGAAATACAAGTTGAACAACACAGTGCGGTCGGCGTCTGAGGTGACGTTGACTTCTTACATGACCGGGAGCACCGACAGCAGGACGGACCGGCCGTACCAGATCCAGATGGATACGAACCAGAACGATACGGTGAACGCGGAGTCCAATAGGAACTTGGAGGCGAAGACGTGTCACGTGTGTCCTCACTCCTGCGAGTTTCTGGAGAACAGTGGCAAGTTCGCGGCTTCGTTGGTGAAGGAGAGTGACCGGTTCGGGCTGAACGAGCTGAAGGTGGAGGGCCTGGAGCGCAACGTGTGCTTGTGCGAGAAGTACAACGGTGGCTGCAAGCTGTGCCCGCGGCCTGCCACCGGCCTGCCGCTGGGCCTGGACGGCAAGGAGGCCTGCCTGGCCTGCCACGACTCCGCGCCCGACCAGTACAATCGTGAGTCAATTTTATTCTTTTTATTTTTCTTTGTAGCCAGCAATAACTTTATAAATTTTATGTGTCGTAGGACTTTTTTATACGAACGGAAAATTAAAGAAAGTGGTATCTTATTTACTTTGTTGTAATGAGTATTACAACAAATATGTAGGCACGTATGTAGGTAACATGTTGTGACAATAAAATATAGTATATTCAATTTATTGTATAATGTTATAAGAATGTTATGCAAAGCGTCATAAACGTAAGTGTGAAATCACTTTTTATTGTGCCACAAGTTTCAGTCGCATTTTAGTGTCATTCCAATAAGAAATATAAAAGTTACGTTAATAATTATGTGCGCTGAGTAGGTAGGTGTACTAAGTCGAATTAAATAGTATTAATTTTCAACACTACACTAGCTACACAATCTGACCAAAATAGAAGCCATATTTTAACTTTCTACGAGTATTCCTATCGAAATTAAATTCACGGTCTCCCAACTTTAATTTAACATGATTTTAACCAATTTACAATGCTAAACTGTTTACTATACCATTGCAGTTTATTGCACCAATACCAATGTACAATTGTACATATCGTAGTCAGTGACAATGGCGGGCAATAGTTTTATTTTGAGATACTTAGGGTACAGGGTATCAATTTAAAAAAAAACACTGAATTTCAGTATCTTCAGCACATACTTTTTCTATGATTTCCCACGTTTTCTTTCGTTTAGTTTTATTCGCTGTACGTCTTGTTAGGTTTGAGTCAGTTAAGGTTTTATCTATCTCTATATTAATCAGAGACCTAATCAGATACCTTAGCAATGACCATAAATAAGCACGTAGTTAAAGTCAAAGCATCCTATGTTTTATTTATCGATCTATTACAATAGGATTATGATTATTGACATCTGTTTAAATTTCAGTAGTAATGTGTTTACAATATTTATCATACTACGTAATAAATAGTTATTCCAAGTATGAACAAAATAATGTTATTAACTTATAACTGGAGACGTCTTATAAATAACATTTAGGATTTTATTGTATTTTTTTCGGAATTTCTACTTTTAATATTGATTTTATAAAGACTGCAAACTCTTGAAAACGAGGCTGACAATAGTGACTAACTTTCTTGCGCTGCTTCTTCACACCACTTTAAAAGCCTACTTGAAAAAATAAAATCAATGTTTCGAATTTTAAATTTCATTGTTTTTTATGGTCATCAATGTACCTAATTATGTTTTTTAATTCAGGGTTTCATCTCAAACACTGAATATATTTTTATGTATTTATGTAAATGTAGATTGTTCTGCTTTTTGAATAATAAAAAAAATAATGAGACCATTAAAAAAATAATCAACCATTTTTTAATAAAATAAGTATTTCCGTCCATTGTCTTAAAAATACATTTATAATTAAGTAGAATATTTGCATTGATAAATAACCTTCACAATATAATTTATTGTTTCTCTCTAGTACGATAGATTGAATTGAAACTGACACTAAAGACTTTTCAATCAATTTTATTCGGACTTCGGATGCAGGTCGCCGTAGTAAGGACCATCTGTTCAGGTGGGAATTCTTGAATAGCTCAAACTTGGAGTGTAAGTGTGGTTGTGCTCTCCAGTCGATGAAGCACATGATGTCGTGCCCTGCGTGCCCAAACAACTGCACGCAGGAAGATTTAATGAACGCTACTGACAAGTCACTGACTAACTGACTGGTTTAATGAACGGGCTGACATTGTATAGGGTTTTGTCGACACGACAAGATGAAGAATCAATTTTATTGCGATTAAGACCTTACCGGAGACAGCCTAGCGTGGTTATTAAACTGAATAGAAACATCACAGCTTTACGAAAAAAAGGCTCCGGCTATAGCAACCATGACTACGGAGCGCCTTAGTACCCAAACTATACTCAACATCAAATAAATCGCACCTTCCGCGACGCGAACTTTAAAGATTTTCTTCGGTCACAATCATGGTGCCCCAACAATATTGGTGTTATGCCCAATAAATAAACTTAACAAACTTAAAGAGAAACACATTACATTTTTTTTAAACAAATAAGTGACTCTGGATCCCTCTAAAAACGCATTTTTGGGGTAAAAACCTTTCCTTTAATGAAATTAAGTTTAGAACTAGGCTTTCAAATGGAACCAATGTTGGTAGGAAGTGGGGATGCATACGTTTGAGATTTGCTTGTTGCGGGAGGTGCGATTTATTTGGTGCCGAGTGTATTTTTATACGTTCCCCAATACTTACTGTAAATGGTCAAAAGATAAGCAACATTTATCGCATCTTGCCAACATTTATTTGTAATTATCTCCGATTAGTTAACGCGGGAAGTCACGTGACGCACGTGTCGGCACACGCAGCCGCGGCCGCGTCGGCGCACGCGTCGCCGCATTGCAACAGGGGTTTTGACATTCGACACATTACACAACTCCTAAATCATTCAAAAATCTAGCAGTTGTGAGTCTTGACATTGAAAATTTACATTAAAACATAATATTAGGTAATTATTACTTTTTGGCAATCCAACATTAGACCTAGAAGACTCCAGTTTATTAGTTTTACAGTGGGTACTTATGTAAATTCGGTGGCAAAACTGACAGGATAACCCAAGCCTGCAAATCCTTAGCATATTGAAAATACTGATATGCTTTATTCTTACTTTTACTCAATGATTTTATTGAGTCACATTTATCTTATTGCTAGAAACGTAGCTCATAATCATAATGCAATCTTAAATTAGTATTATTTTGCTTTCTTATTAACTTACTGTAAATCCTGCAGCTATAATTCCTAAGGCGGGATTATAGGCTGCGATCTGCTCCACCTTAGGTGCTCTAAGTGGAATAGGCCGGGTGCTATTCGTGCAGGTGCTATTTGAGCTGGTGCTCAAAGTGGAATACGTCTCCGTAACGTCTACTAGTCTAGTCTGGTCAATAGTTCAGTAATAAGCCTTAGACCTAGACCTAGAACTCAGACCCATAACAGGCACGTGTCGGCGCAGTGGGAGCGCGTCGACCTCGGAGCACCTTCCTTAGTTCATCTAGCAATAGATTCTAGTAACTTCCCACGATCGTTTATTGTACAGAAGATACAATCTTATGCAGATTTAGTACCTGGGTAGGCGACAGTGCATCGAGCTAACATATGAATGAGTGCTAATTTGCAACAAAAAATGCAATATGACACCATCCTGAAAGACATTTTTGTCCTCTTTTAGAAAACGACTAAAATAAGCCATTTTCTTGTCAAATTACATTAATTTGTAAATCTATCCTTGTAGTTTTAAAAGCTGCGATAAAGTTTTTCTATAAAAACAAAGCATTTCTCATATTCGTAGCTTCGTAGCACTGACAACGTTACCGAGTAGAAATCATTAAACATTTCAACAATAATGTTGAACAATATAAAATCAAGATAGTGTATTTGGCACCTAACTAGCTATCAATTTGAGGATCCACGCGCGAGATCACGTGCGCGAGAGTGACAGCGTCCGCCGGCCTCCAGGGCATCCAATGGCGCTCCTAACGCAGGATCGCGCTGGATGGAGCGCCCTTTCTCTGCACGAGACCAAATATAATAAAACTAGCTTTCCGCCCGCGGCTTCGCCCGCGTGGAATTTTGTCTGTCACAGAAAAACTTTATCGCGCGCGTCCCTGTTTCAAAAACCGGGATAAAAACTATCCTATGTTCTTTCCCGGGACTCAAACTATCTCTATGCCAAATTTCATCAAAATCGGTTGCGAGGTTTAAGCGGGAAAGCGTAACAGACAGACAGACAGACAGACAGACAGAGTTACTTTCGCATTTATAATATTAGTTGGGATATTAGTTGGGATGTCCTGTCGAGGGTAATGACCGCTGAAGAGGCACGCGACTTTTTTGCTGTTCATCGCGAAAAAAATCGTGATTGACGATACTTGTTGATATTTGATCATCTTTAATATTTAGGTATTTTTGTATGTTCTTTTTCAACCATGTGTGCGCAACCTCTTGAGAATTTTTTAAGCATATATTAATACACTTACTTATATACTTACTATTTTGTCCAATCATGCACAAATTCCTTGGTCAAAATCTATGCGATATCAAAATGTTTAGACATTTCGTTTTAGCAACTACCTATAGTGGTTCTGAATTAAAGAATTAAGTTGAAACCGGAAGTGTAGAGTCGCTTAAAATCTTCTTTTTTTTTCAGTACTTTGCCCTAGTCCTTTGGGCAGACAAATGTTTCCAAATTCGTTCAAAAACTGTATCTAACTGTATTACTTATAATTATCTAAGTAACGCATGTATTCACTTATTACTGGAAAACGAATAATTTTCCGCTCCGTAAACATTCCGTGGAGAATCGCCGTACGTGTCATGTGGGCTCTTACTGGGGCTGATAAGACTGTAGAGAATGTAGAGACAATAAGAAGACAATAAGATTATTTACTAAACATGACTAACACACTTAATTTAAATATTTTACTGAAAGTAGTGACTCTACCATAGTTCTCGTCTAGGCATCGTATCTACTCTATTACCAAGCCTGTTCATCTCCGCGAGGTTACATCGAAAACAAAACACGCACGATGGCCCTCCTACAGGATACTATTCGACAAGGCCTCACATACGAGCGAACATTGACTCACGCACGCGTATTCTTGTGTATGATGGAAGAAAATAAAGAAAATGGTGTACTAAATACTGTGCAGTATTTAACTGCCTAAATAATAATAAAAACACAGAATGTACTTTTTTAAGTTGCCTCAAGACACTGAGAGGTAAATAAGTAGTTAATATTATTCATGATAATTCATGCTAAATCATGTANCCCTATAACTTCGGCGCAGTGCCGATCACTGACGTTTGTCAACAAAATGGTGCTTGACTCTTGAGACAGGCTAAATTACACCATATTGTTAATGACATTGAGCATACATTTTTTTAAATACCTTCGCAAAGTAAAACTTCTGTACGTAGTACTTATTATTATTCTGTGCTATTACCTT